TTTCTAGTTCTGTGAAGAATGTCATTGTTTTTTTTTTTTTTTTTGATGGGGATTGCATTGGATCTGTAGATCATTTTGGGTAGTATGAACATTTTAACAATATTTTCCCATCCATGAATGTGGGAGATCTTTTCATTTTTTTTGTCTTCTTCAATTTCTATCTTCAGTGTTTCGTAATTTTTTTTATAAAGGTATTTTCTTTCTTTAAGTTTGTTCCTGGGTATTTTATTTTTGCTTTGTCACTGTTGTGAATGGGACTGCTTTCATGATTTCTTTATTAGCAAGTTCATTATTTGGTGTAAAGAAAAATTACTAATTTTTGCATGTTGCTTTGGTATCCTGCTACTTTATTGAATTTCTTTATCAGTTACAGTCTCTTGGTTTTTCTCTGTATAGAATCATATCATTTGTAAATTTTTTCCTTTTTACTTGTGTGCCTTTTATTTCTTTTCCTTGCCTAATTGCTCTGGCTAAAACTTTTAGTGCATTAAATAGGAGTGATGAGGGTCAATACTCTTGTCTTGCTCTTGATCTTAGAGGAAATGCTTTCTGTTTTTTTTTTTTTTTTCCTATTCAACATGATATTGGTTGTAGGCTTGTCATATGCAGCCTTTATTATGTTGAGGTATAATGCTTCTGTACCTATTTTGTTCAGGGCTCTTTATTATGAATGTATGTTGAATCTCATCAGATGCTTTTCCTGTACCTGTTGAGATGATTCTGCTATTTTTATTCTTTATTACCTTGCATCCTATGATGTGTTTCCTGGGATGGAACCAACTTGATGGTGGTGAATGATCTTTTTAACGTGCTTTAAATTAGATTTGCTAGTATTTTGTTGAATTTCTTCATCTAAATGCATCAGGGATATTGGTCTGTCATTTTCTTTTTTGTCATATCCTCTGATTTTGGTGACAGGGTTAATAATAACCTCATTGAGTTTGGAAGAATTCTTTTTCCTTTAATTTATGGAATTGCTTGAGAACAATGTGTGTTCTTCTTTAACAGTTTAGAAAAATTCAGCAGTGCAGCCACCTGGTCCTGAGCTTTGCTTTTCTGGGAGACTTTTTCTTACTGATCAGTGTCATTGCTTGTTATTAGTCTCTTCAGGTTTTCTTTCTAATGATCTCACGGCTCATTTTTCTAAGTTATATGTGTCCATACAGATTAGTGTTCAGAAATGGGGTCGTTTCTTTTAGGGTTTCCAATTTGTTAGCATGCGGTTCACAATAACCCCTAATGATCCTTTGTGTTTCTGTGGTGTTGGTTGTTGTGTCTCTCTTTCCATCTCTGATTTTATTTATTTGGGTCTTCTGTCTTCCCCTTCCCCAAGCCCCTGGCTTGGTTAGTCTCGCTAAAAATTTGTCAATTTTGTTCATCTTTTCAAAGAACCAACTCTTGGTTTCATTGATCTTTTATACTATTTTTTTGGTCTCTATTTTGTTTATTTCTACTCTGATTTTTGTTATTTATTTCCTTCTATTAATTTTGGACTTGGTTTGGTTTGTTACGGCTTATTTAAGTTCCTGAGATGCATCACTTTTTTTTTTGAAATAATTTTCTATCAATATTCTGTTCGTGATTATTTAAGTATTTTTTTTTAAGAAGATGGAAGCTCTTTATTCAAGTCTCTTCTTTCCTTTTTGAATGCTTTCCAGAAATCAACTTTAACAGACAGGTTTCTACCAAGAGTCCCTTCATGTCAATCTAAGCTTCTTCTTGCATGTACCTAAGAACTCTTTCAGCCTCTACCTCATTGCTCATTTCCAAAGCCACTTCCACTTGATTAGATATTTCCTGCAGCGGCACCCCTCTTTCTGCACCAAAATCTATATTAGTCCAAGTTCTCCTAAGAAACAGAACCAATAGGACATTATGCAATTGTGGTGTTTTAAGCCTGACCTGGGGTCTCTTGTGTTTTTCTGTTCCTCTTTAAGGACTGGGAGTCTTAGGTTTGCTGCTATGAGAACTCTGAAGTGTCTCGGTCTTCCAGTGATACTTGGGGCCAATAACATTTATGCTTCCTTTTGTTAGATTTTCAAAGAAGAATCTGGAATAGAGAGTTTCTGGAGTCTCAATGAAAGTTTTGATATAGGCTATTAATGTGGAACTTAATGAAGTCTTTCCTATCTGACATGTGAACAATTTTCAAGCCATACGTGGCACCACTATTCTCAGATCTCTCATATTCAGATCAAGTCTGGGAGAAGCAGAACATATTTTCTTTTTTTAAAAAATCCTGTGCTAGTCAGAGAAATGCAAATCAAAACCACCCTAAGATACCATCTCACTCCAGTTAGATTGGCAGCCATTATGAAGTCAAACAACAACAAGTGCTGGCGAGGATGTGGGGAAAAGGGTACACTTGTACATTGCTGGTGGGACTGCAAATTGGTGCAGCCAATTTGGAAAGCAGTATGGAGATTTCTTGGAAAGCTGGGAATGGAGCCACCATTTGACCCAGCTATTCCCCTTCTCGGTCTTTTCCCTAAAGACCTAAAAAGAGCATGCTACAGGGACACTGCTACATCGATGTTCATAGCAGCACAATTCACAATAGCAAGACTGTGGAACCAACCTAGATGCCCTTCAATAGACGAATGGATAAAAAAAAAATGTGGCATTTATACACAATGGAGTATTACTCTGCATTAAAAAATGACAAAATCATAGAATTTACAGGGAAATGGATGGCATTAGAGCAGATTATGCTAAGTGAAGCTAGCCAATCCCTAAAAAACAAATGCCAAATGTCTTCTTTGATATAAGGAGAGTAACTAAGAACAGAGTAGGGTCGAAGAGCATGAGAAGATGATTAACATTAAACAGGGATGAGAGGTGGGAGGGAAAGGGAGAGAGAAGGGAAATTGCATGGAAATGGAAGGAGACCCTCAGAGTTATACAAAAGTACATACAAGAGGAAGTGAGGGGAAAGGGAAAAATAATACAAGGGGGACAAATGAATGTCAGTAGAGGGGGCAGGGGGAGGGGAGGGGGGATAGTAGAGGATAGGAAAGGCAGCAGAACACAACAGACACTAGTATGGCAATATGTAAATCAATGGATGTGTAACTGATGTGATTCTGCAATCTGTATATGGGGTAAAAATGGGAGCTCATAACCCACTTGAATCAAAGTGTGAAATATGATATATCAAGAACTATGTAATGTTTTGAACAGCCAACAATAAAAAATTAAAAAAAAAAAATCCTGTGCTATGTAGAGAAGCAGAATTGCTTCTTTGGGAAAAGGAGAGTGTATCCACCTTGCCAGTGTCTTGTACTAGTTCTGTTTTTAAAAGTCTCTGGTCCCTTCTAAGAGGCCAAGCAGCATTGTAGTTCAAGCCCATAACCTCTGGAGTCCTAGTGCTTGAATTTGAATCCTGGCTCGGCCGAGCCAGGCCATCTACCAGAGGTGCAGCCTCAAACAAATTACCTAGCCTCTCTGTGCCTTAGTTTCTTTATCTATAAAATGAGGATAATATTACCACCACCCTCATAGAGTTCTTTTAAAGATTAAAGTAAGTAAGAATAAATATAAAGCCTTTGGAATAGTGCCAGGAGTCAACAAGAATTTGCTGTGATTAGTTTGAGAAAATTAACACTATGAAAATAATTTTTTGATAGAGATGACTTGGGAGGATTCATGAAACCTGCTGTTTTGGACTAAATAAAATTTCTTTGTTCCCGTTTGGCATTCTCTAGGAATATAGCCCACTTTACCTGTGATTTCCATTCTCTGGAGAAGGGGTTCCTGGCTTCCCAGATCTAATCACTAATTGGCACCAACGGTGTCACAGCCACCAGGAGTGTCTCAATAAACATGTCACTTCCAGGGTTCCTGGGCCAGCAGACCTTCTGTCCTGCAGGGTGGGAAGAGGGATGAGAGCTTACCTTGTGTGGCTGTGCTTGTAGTTCAGGTTTGAGAACTGTGCTTCTGGGAGGCTTGGGGAGGAGAAGGAGGCTGCAGGACCAAGAAAGAAGTTATCCTGGCATCTGGAATGGAATCCTTGCCAACTGCTTTAGGGTTGCTGTGACGGACATGTTCTCTTTTCTAAATCAGTAGTGGCTGGCACAGAGTGGCAATTCTTAAATGGTATCCTGCAAAGGAATCACTGGGGGGTACTTGTTAAAAATGCTGATTCCTGGGCCCACCTGCAGAGATTCTGCATTCCATTATGGTATGGTCCAGTGATTTTGTGGAGGAGTCTGAGAGCTTTGGCCTCCAGAACCTAGAATGAGCAGAGGGGCTGTAGCATGGTTTGGGATCAGTGGTCAGAGGCTTTTCTGGAAGCTGGACATTTTTTTCCAACCACCTTTTAAAAAGCACTAAGTGTTGATTTAGGTGAGCTTTGTGGAATGCATGGCAATTATGGGGGTGTACAGTCTCAAGCTTCCCCTTGTCATCCCTACTCTCTGAGGGCCAGGCCTTCAGAAACACAGTCAGACAGAACGAGAAACCATCCAGGCCATAGCTTACCGTGTCAACTTTGTTGTAGAAGACAAACAGACCCTGAGAGGTAGGTGGCTTCATCAAGGCCACAGAGCTGGCTAAAGGCAGGTTAGAGACTGCAACCAAGTGTCTGGGTTCCCATTTAGTTCTCCACTCACTACATACCTGTTTCCTCTGGCATGGGAGAGTGGGGAGGGGAAGGGGTGAAGGAGAATGCCTAGTGAGATTTGGAGCTGGACCCAAAGCCTGGGAGGAAGGAGGGGCGGTGCCAATAAAAATTTTGTCCTACTTGAAAATGGAGTCAGAATAAGGGAAATTTTGATTTGGAATTCAATCAACCAGTTGCTATTAACATCACTAATAGAGTTATCTTCCAAAGGCAGGATGCTTCCCTCCCCCTCGCCCGACCAGAAAACCAACAAACCAACCAGAAAAACAACTCCAAGCATGGGTAAGACTTTTTTTTTTTTAAAATCTAGGGAGGAGACATCCCTAATGGAGCCGCCGCTTCAATTTTCTTCCCAGTAACAAGGTCCTCATGCGGGCGCTGTACTGTCTGGGACAGTGAGCGGTGCTGAGCACAGTAGACGTGGGCAGAGCCAGAGCCGCGGGGTCTGCGGCAGCGGGCGGTGGCACTGCGGGCGCGGGCGGGTACACTGCAGCACGGTGGCCTGGGTCAGGCCTGCAGAGGCCCGCTGGAGGGGGCGCTGTGCGCACGGCAAGGCGGCCTTTTGTCAGCGTGCACAGCCGAGAGCTCTCATTTCCTCCCAGCCTCCTGCGGGAAATGGATTTAATTCTGACCGTAGGGCCGTGAGGGACGCGCGCGGGAAGCAGAGCCTTTTGTCAAGGAGTGGCAGCTCTGGTGCTCTTAATTGGCACCAACGCGCGCGGAGAAGTTGCCGGGCTGGTGAGATTCCCTGCTGCTCTGATAAGCAGGGGCTGCAAGATGGGTGGAAAACACTGCTCTGCAGAGTAGCTGCATGGATTTATGAAGTGCATCCAACAAAATCCCACAGAAAAACACAGACCAACCCACAGTGGCAGACCGGAGATGCATACAATGCTGTGCAGACGGTAAGACCCGCTTGGGAAGGGGTACGGTGGGCTCGCCTTGGTGGAGCTCGGTTTAACAGCATCTGGGACCCCTAAGCATCCTGCCACAGTGCAGGAGCTGGCTGGTCCAGCTAGGTGAGCCACTGTTCGGGTGCGCTGTGGCGATGCAGCCCTGGTCGAGGTTGTATGTTTTACGCCTATAGGTTTTTGGTGTAATATAGGTATAGGTGTAATATTGAGCTCTTTAGAAATCGGGGTTGCAAGCAGCGGTTCCCACATGTGGATGGTGGGACCCTCGTATGGAGCGTAAAGCCCGGCCTGACGGGTGAGGCTGTTTTCTTGCCTGGCGGGCCGCCCCTCGTTTCCCCCTCCCTTCCCGAAAGGCTCAGCCGGCCGCCGCCCTCCCGGGGAGCAGTGCTGGCTCCTGGCTTCCCAGGGGCCTGGCGCTCCGCAGCAGGGGCGCGCCGAGCAGGTGCCGTGCCTGCAGCTATCTGCATTTGGATTGGGGCGATTGGCACGTGAGCGGGCCCGGTGGGTTTGGATTTTTATGTGACTCTACCACTTGGGAGGGAGAAGAGGCCGCTGTCCCTAAGGAGGTATTGCCAGACACTTCATCTTGAGCTTCCATCTTCTCTTCCCTCTCTTTGGTGTGTCTCCTCCTGCAGCCTGGGAGGAGGCCACCCTCTGTCCAGCTGGCAGGAGGGAGCCGCGTAGGATTGTTTTGAAATGCGACCACAGCCTACCTGGTGCTGGGGGGAAGGGCGGGAGGGGCACCCTGCTTTAGGATGCGGATCAGGCGCTGGAGTCTGGCCTATTGTCTTGCCTGGCTCTTCCTTTTCTCATCCCTAATCTCTGTCCCCCACCAAAAATAAATAAATAAAAAAATAAAAAGTGAGGCCCAGCCTACACCCTATCAAATTCTTTAAAAATTGTCATTAATCTATGACACACAATTCTAACCCATCTGTTTCTTTACGCCCACTCTTCCCTCTTTTGGCAGTTTGTCATCTAAAATTCAACTGACTCAAGTGAGTCTTATAAATAATACAAATCAAACCTCAGTTTCCTAGGCAGACCGTTCTGACTAACCCCTAAGGAAGGATTGGTTTAGAGCAAAGGAACTGGAGAGGGTACATGGGCTCAGCTCTCTTCACAGTTGGGATTCTTGAGTCTGCACAGGGTATGGGCTTGCCAAGTTCAGTGAAAAGGGTGTTTGCACTAATGGGATTTAAAAATCATGTTTCATTTTAACAACGAAATAGCTAGCCAACATTTGAAGTGAAGGAACTTTAAATGAATATAACCAGGTAACTATGAAATTTTAGGCTTGCAAGTAACACCTCCCATTTACATATAATATGTCAGAAATTTCAAAAGGTGATTAGAGCATTTAATAGTTTTACTAATGTTCTACCTTCCTTCTGCAGACAGAATAGATTTTTCTTAATGCCTATGAACCAGGATCTTGTCCAATCCCTTTCTTCCAGCACATAGGGGAACAAGTAAAAGCAAACTTTTTCATTTGAGTGTGGCATCAAGCACTTTGAGGACCCACTAAAGATAAATCGTTCTTTAACCACAAATCCATAAAGATTTTGAAGTCAGCCCTGTGTTCTTTCTTGTCCACCAAATTGCCTAGCCCTATTAGAAATGTGCTTGTTCCATCTACGGTACACAAGTGTGTCTGAACCAAAATAACACCTGTGGTTTCTGGGCTCTGATTGGAATTTGCACTAGTACAGTGCTGGAGTTAGCAAACCTTAGCTATTCTTAAAGTTTACTGATGATCAAATGTGTTTGATGGCAGAGGATTTAGTGTTGAGGTTTTAAATAAATATATTTTCTAAAGTCTTAGATAGATAGACCTATCTATCTATCTATCTCCTACCTTGTTCCACAAGGGTTTTAGGATAGTTTACAGGGATTCATAAAATATAATAAGGCTGCCTAATTTAGAAAGAAAAGAAAAAGGGAAACTCAGGGTAAAGACACTGATTAGGGCAGGAAACGAATCCTGCTCTAAACCTTGTTAGCAGCTCATGCAAAAAGGTAATTGACCAGCCCATAGTGCATATGTTTTATTTATGTGTTAACTCATTCCCTCAACACACATTCTGTGAGAACTTACTAAGTTCCAGGTTCTGAGAGAAGCATTAGGGGGGAAAAAAGGGATGAGACAGATAGACATGGTCTCTACCCTGATGGCACTTAAAGGCAAGAAATGCATATTCAGCAATAAATCTCACAAATGAATGTGTAATTACAAATTGTGTTAAGAACTGTGCAGGGAAAACAAAACATCACATGTCCAGAATAGAAAAACCAAAAACTTCTTAAGAGAAGCACAATTCTTGATTCTGAGATCAGAAAGGAATTTTGCTCAAAAATCCTGAAGTGTTTGGGATGATGTCTTCAGTCATCTCCTTATCAGACACAGGAGAGTCTCATATATATATTATTTTTTTTCCCACTCCTAGTACTGAGGATCAAATTGAGGGTCCTGGGCATGCTAGCAAGCACTCTGTCATTGAGCTACACCCCAGTCCTTTTAATATTTTGAGACAGGGTCTCACTAGTTGCTGAATGCCTCCCTAAGTTACTGAGTCTGGCCTTAAACTTGAGAAGCTGCTGGGATTACAGGTGTGTGCTACCATACCCAGCTCAAAACACTTGTTTTCTGGCAATGTCCCTCAATCTGAGCTAAAAATATCACACCACAGATTTCTCAGAGCCCTGGTGTTCTAAGAATATTTGTATTTTGAGGAATCTGTATTCTTTAAAATTAATAACTATATCCAATGGTAATCTAAGATAATAATTAAATTGTGTTCTGGCTCATGTTAATGGCAAACCCAATCAGGTGCTGGGGCCTATGTTAGCCTCTGGGTCATTCCATTTGAGCAAGGGGCAGGCTTCATGGGTTGGGTCACAGCTCCAAGGAAGGCAGGGGAGTTTGAATATTGGAGAGAGGTTAGTCTGCACAGGGTGTGGGCTTGCCAAGTTCAAAAGAACAGCTCCTGGTGACCACTGCTATGTTGGCAAAGAACGAAGATCTCATGCCAGTTCCACCTTCCTGTGGACCAAGTTGCAGCAATTTATAAGCTGCAGGTGTCGGAGTAAAAAATGCAATGAAAAGGTTGCTGTCGTTGGCTTTAGCAGTCATTGGGTTAGCCCTCCATTTAACGTAGATCCAGTAACTCCCCAATAGGCAGTTTGACATAATGGTGAAATGGAGCCAGATTGCCTGACATCAAATCTGTGTTTTCCTACTTCATCAGCTGCAAGAGTTTTAGCAAGTTGCTTGACTCCTCTGTTCTTCCGTTTCCTCTTGTGATAACATGGGGATAAACATATGATATTGATTTCACGGTGGATTTATGAGGATTGGTAAGTTATTACACATGAGCCACCTGGAGCATAGACTGTTTTTATTAGTATGAAATGACAGTTCATTTATGTAGGCATTTCAGAGGATGGTTGGATCACAGAATTTTAAATGATCTGATTATCTTCAAAACCTGGTTTTGAGGATGTTACTGTTGTTTGGCACACCATGCTTGGGGACATTACTTGTACCAGTATTATTGAAGTCAAAATTTGAAAACTGATAATATGTATCAACCAAAACCTGAGGCTATACCTTTCTACTATTAAACTCCAAATGGTGTTTTTTAGTCTCAGCAATATATTATAATACAATATTATCTGTTGTAGTAAATCAGTTCTTATTGGTTTGACACTTTAAAGTTTGATAGATGCATTTATTTTGATATTTTAGTCAAAAATTTGTAAAGCATAGATGTTTTGAACTGGTCCCTGTGAATAAACACATTTTTTTGTTTTATATAATTTTATTTTTATTCTAACTAATCATACATGACATTAGAAAGCATTTTGACACATTGTATACAAATGGAACATAAATTCTCCTTCCTCTGGCTGTAAATGGTGCTGAGTCACACCAGTAGTATAATCATACTGTATATAAACTTGTTCTATCTAACTCTATTTGGGTATCCATTATCCAATGTTCCTCAATCCCCATTTTTCCACCCTTTTAAAAACCACTATTATACATTCTAATTAACTTTTTTCCTTAAATACACAAGAGACCATATGGTATTTGTCTTCGTATGTCTGACCTATTTCATAATGTAAGTTTCCTCTAGTTCCCCCCATTCTGCTGCAAGTGATACAATTCTTTTTATGGCTGAACAATATTCTATTATGTATATTTGATATTTCATTGTGTATGTGTACCACATTTTCTTTATCCATTCATCTATTGGTGGGGACCTTGGCTAATTTCATATCTTAGCTGTTGTGAATTGTGCAACAACAAACATAGTCATGAAGGTGTCTCTTCAATACATAGACATTATTTCCTTCAGATACATATAACCAGAAGTGGGATAGTTGGATCATATGGTAGAGATGCAGTTTTTTTTTCACCAACTATTTTTAATCTGAAGTTTGTTGAATCTTGTTGTGGAGCCCACAGATACAGATACACACCCACACCCACACCGAATCAGATATCTTGGATGCTTGATTACTTAGGGTCCTGATTGTCCAGGCCTGGTGGGTTTCCTGGATGGGAAATTTCAGTTCATTTTTTTGTGTGGTGCTGGGGATTGAACCCAGGGCCTTGTGCAAGTGAGGCAAGCACTCTACCAACTTAACTATAACCTCAGCCCGGAATTTTAGTTCTTAAACCAGGACAGTGCCAAACAGTGGTGGTTGATCATCCTATTTGACACAATCACTTGTAACTATTGAAGCTCCATTATGGAATAAATCTTTATTTCAAATATCCTTGTTTCATTGTATGTTTTGTTTTGTTTTAATTTTTACTGATGATAAAACTGAGATCCTGCTTTCTTTTTAAAATTTTCATTTCCCTGGCATATAGTCATTTTTTTAAAAATTAAATTTCTTCCATGTCATTTTGATATTTGTCTTTTTAAAAAAAATTTTTTTAGTAGTTATTGATGGACCTTTATTTATTTATTTATATGTGG